GTGAGATCGGAACATCGCAATTTGAAAAATTCAGGACACAAAATTAAAAAAAAATCAAAAAACCGTAGAAACGAAAACTTGAAAACACCATAAAAGTAAAATCGAATAGTTGTAAGTCGAAAAATTGAAGAAACAAAAGTTGAAAAAACCAAAAAAGAAAAATTGAGAAACCAAAAAACCGAAAATGTGAAAAATAAAAAAATTAGATAAAGTGTAAAATCGAAAATTTGCAAATTGAAAGAAGAAACGAAAAGTTAAAAAATCGAGAAATTGATAAACAGAAAAGATGGAAAAGCCAAATATTTGAAAGTGGGAAATTGAAAAAAAAAAGTGAAGGAACGAAAAATCTAAGATAAAACCTGGAAAAATTGTAAAATTGAAAAATTGAAAAATCTACAAATTATTGTACAAATGAAAAAACTGCAAAATCGAAAAATTGAAAAATCCAGAAACTGAAAAAACGAAAAACTGGAAAATTGCAAAATCGTAATTCGGAAAATCGTACAATCGGAAAAAGTGAGACTGAAACATCGCACATCAAAAAATTAAGGACACAAAAATTAAAAAATCGAAAAACTGTTGAAATGAACATTTGAAAATATGAATAGTAATAGTAGTAATAGTTAAGAATTAATGACCACAGGTTTGGAATGTTCCGAAGTTTTGAAATATTTTCGTTGTTTATTTTTTATTAAATTGTTGGATTAGATGTTTCATTTTTTGAATCATCGGCTAATTGAGAATATGAAGGTCGGAAGTTATGTATGTCATAACACTCATAACTCAAAACTTCCTGGTAATAAAACTGCAGCAGCGCAGAACTGAAAATTAGGTGGTATGAAAAATTTACAAATTTCGGAAAATAATAAATACGAAAAATTGTATAATCGAAAAAAGTAACACCAAAAAACCGAAAATGGAAAAATTGTGAATAATGGAAAAATTGAGAAATTAAAAAATCGTAAATGTGGAAAAACGAAAAATTGTGAGAAATCGAAAAAGCCTAGAAACGAAAACTTGGAAATTCGAAAAAGTAAGATCAAACTTGCAAGTCGAATAATTGAAAAGAAAAATTGCAAACTTAAAAACCGAAAAAACGAAAAGTTGAAAAAGCCAAATATTTGAAATTCAAAAATTGAAAACAAAGAAACGAAAAATCGGGAAATTGAACATTCGCAAAAATTCAAATAGTAAATACCAAAAGTAAAATATGTAGGTATCTAAACATTGAAGAATGGAAAAATTCTAAAATCGAAAAATTGCAAACAGGAAAATTGAAAAACAAAAATGCAGGAAAATTGAAAAGTTGAAGAAGGTTAAAAAATGTAAGATATAAAGGTCCAGAAAAATTGCAAAATCGAAAAAAGTACGATCAAAAAACGAAAAATTGTAAAATTTACAAATTACAAATAAATATGTGAAAATTGTAAAATCAAAAAACTGTAGAAACGAAAACTTGAAAACACCATAAAAGTAAAATCGAATAGTTGTAAGTCGAAAAATTGAAGAAACAAAAGTTGGAAACACCAGAAAAGAAAAATTGAGAAACCAAAAAACCGAAAATGTGAAAAATAAAAAAAATAAATAAAATGTAAAATCGAAAATTTGCAAACTGAAAGAAGAAACGAAAAGTTAAAAAATCGAGAAATTGATAAACAGAAAAGATGGAAAAGCCAAATATTTGAAAGTGGGAAATTGAAAAAAACAAATGAAGGAACGAAAAATCTAAGATAAAACCTGGAAAAATTGTAAAATTGAAAAATTGAACAATCGACAAATTATTGTACAATTTGCAAATTATAAATACGAATAATTATACAAATGAAAAAACTGCAAAATCGTAATTCGGAAAATCGTACAATCGGAAAAAGTGAGACTGAAACATCGCAAATCAAAAAATTAAGGACACAAAAATTCAATTTTTTGTTTCGACTCACCCCAATCGCGTTGACTCAACGGTGGTTAAGCGTATTAACTACAATTTAGTTAACAGCGATATTAATCAAATTGATTGGCACTCCTGTCTCCGTAACTTAGATCCAAATGAGCAATGGAATTACCTGACAGCGATCATTACATCACTCAAAGCAAAATACACTAAGACGATGGTTATCAAACGAGCGAAAAATAAACCTTGGATAAATCGTAACCTTATAAAAGAATTATCAAAAAAGAAAGCCCTTTGGAAAAAATTTCGGAGAACAAAATGCAATAATGACTACGTAGCTCACAGGCTTTTCTCAAACGAACTATCTATCAAATTACAGAAAGCTAAGAAGGCATATGAACAGTCAGTAATTTTCAGCAACAACCAAAAGAAGTTCCACCAATACATTCGGAATGCCCTGTGCTCAAAGGTCAGCGTACCTCTGATCCAACACCCCAACGGAACTCTGTGCAACAACAACCTGGAAGTAGCCGAGTTATTAGCTGAGAGTTTTTGCAAGTCTTTCACACCAGAGCCAAACGATCCACTGACAGCAGTACTCTCTACTCCCAGTTGTGAGAACTTTCTAAGTAACATCAATTTCACTCCATCGATAATAAGACAAAAAATAAAAAATCTTAAGTCCAACTCTGCCCCTGGACCTGACAACATTGATGTGCACCTACTGAAACACTGTATCAGCTCCCTAAGCTCACCCCTGGCCATAATAATGACAAACTCTTTTAAAACTTCCATTGTGCCAGACGTCTGGCGTTGTGCTTACGTCACACCTATTTTTAAAAAAGGCAACAAGCTCTCTCCAGACAACTACAGGCCGATTAGCTTAGTGTCAGTGGTGTCCAAAATTATGGAATCTATCATAGTCGATTCATTATCTCAATTTCTTGTTGAAAACGAAATCATTCCTAACGTTCAGCATGGCTTCCTTAAAGGCCGCTCAATCGTCACCAACTTATTATCATGCTTAAACGAGTGGTCTGACTCACTTGACAAACATAAGCCTACAGACGTCATTTACTTAGACTTTTCCCGAGCGTTTGACCGTGTCCCTCATCAGCGATTGATGCACAAACTCCATCACCAAGGCGTCCGTGGAGACCTCTTAACGTGGATTTCATCGTTTCTTAATAACCGTTCGTTCAAAGTCCGGGTGGACAAGGAGTATTCTAATCCCAGAAGTGTTTTAAGTGGTGTACCACAAGGATCCGTCCTGGCGCCACTACTCTTCTTGGCTTACACATCCGATCTCGTCGCTGTCATCAGTTCAAAATGCGCCCTTTATGCTGACGACGCAAAAATTTTTGCTGACCCAACATCTAACTGGGACACTCTCCAAAGTGATCTGCACAAAATCGCCATTTGGTCTTCAGCTTGGCTTCTACCACTAAACGAAGACAAATGCGTCGTTCTTCACATCGGGCCAAACAACCCTCTTAACACTTACTCCATCAATGGAAAACTCTTGCGCTCTGTAAAATCTGTAAACGATTTGGGTGTCATCATTAATGACCGTTTGACTTGGACACAACACATTGATAAAATATGCAAGAAAGCTAACTCAACGATATACATCTGTAACAAAATTTTCTCAAAGCCGTCGTATGAAACAACTCGGAAACTTTACATCATGTATATCAGACCCCTCCTGGAATATGCCAGCGCTATATGGTACCCAATACTTTGTCGGGACAGAAATCTATTAGAACAAACACAACGAAAGGCCACCCGTCTTGGTTTTGGAATTCGAAGACCATCATATGCCGAACGCCTCTCACAAATGCGTCTTGAACCAATTACAACGAGACTGAGAAAACTCGATCTTATAACCACCTACAACATTCTAACATCCAAGTTCAGCGTGGACCTCTCGCACATTTACAAACCACAAAATGACAACAGGTTACGAGGCCACCCTCGACAACTAAAACACCAGACATACTCGACGAAGAGCCGTCAATTTTTTTTACCCAATCGCGTTTTCAAGGAGTGGAATTCTTTACAACCTACCCTAGTCGCCGCACCCACTACAAGCATCTTCAAAAAGGGAATCAACTCTGTTACTTTCAATTAGTTAACTTTAATAATTTAGTTTAATTTGTATAGAGTACCCATAGGATTTTTTTTTTTCCTCTACTCTGTAATTTCTCTGTAAAATAAATAAATAAATAAAAATAAAAAAAAATTAAAAAATCGAAAAACTGTTGAAATGAACATTTGAAAATATGAAAATAGTAATTTTAGTAATAGTTAAGAATTAATGTTAAGGTTTGGAATGTTCCGAAGTTTTGAAATATTTTCGTGTGTTTATTTTTTATTAAATTGTTGGATTAGATGTTTCATTTTTTGAATCATCGGCTAATTGAGAATATGAAGGTCGGAAGTTATGTATGTCATAACACTCATAATTCAAAACTTTCTGGTAATGAAACTGCCGCCAACTAGCGTAGAACTGAAAATTACGTGGTATAAAAAATTTCCAAATTTCGAAAATTTTTCATTTTTAATTGAAAATTTTTAAAATACTCTTATTTTTTGATTTTGCATACTTTCACAACTCGAATAATAACTGTAGAGACATCGTCCGTTATAAAATGTTTCAAATTTTTTTTTTCCAAAATTTATCAAACTGTTTGATTCTCAAAATCTTGAAAGTTCTAAAATACATGTTGTAGTAAATTGATGTAAACAAAAGTAAGTGAGAATATTTCAAAAACCATTATTTTGGATATACAAATCACATTGGAAGTAGATAAAAACGGGACTTAAAAAAAATTGTTACAACCTGTAATCTGCTCTGGACAACTTGATTTTGTGGATTCTGAACAAAAGTTGATCCACCCGGTAGATCTATAATTTTGAATGACACTGTTTCACTTGGAATATTACACTATTTAACTTGGAATATTGAAATTAAAGACTCTGGAGTACTTTTAAAAGGACTCAGTATACATTTAGGTCCTCTGTGCTTAGAATTTCCAGTGCCCTATGAAAAATTTCGATACGGACGTTTTCGGTAGATTTATCGAATTTACTGAAAATATTAATTACGTACCTGTAGATTACTGCTGACCTTGTACGGGAAACCACAAACTTAAATTTAACACATTTTTCTGTAATATTTTTGCTATTTTTCGCACAAAAATGCTACAATACAAACAATAGCTAACTAGTCTGAACCCCTCCACACCAAATGTCAAAAAAATCTAACAACAGTCCTACCATAGGGATAAAGTCTTCCTTTAAAGTAAGAGTGCCCATTGTGTTTCAAAACTGTTCGATTTTATCTTATATACTGCAGTGTCGTAAATGCTGGTAGCTTTCTTATTTAGTAGAAGAAATATTGCTGTTACAATACATAAATTAACAGCTCCCTCTTCAATTGAGACGTTCATCCACACGGAAGGACTATGACTATTTTTTGACAGTTGATACGGCGGTTCAGTTAAGTCGTTTGCATTTTAGAACTTTGTTTGTGAAAAAAATACCAAACATGTGCGGAAAATTGTGTAAAACTGAAGAACTTAGCTTCTGGTGCTTGTCCAACCACAGTTTAAAGGTGAGTGTTGCAAATTTTTGTAAAATTTCAATTTTCGTACGAATTGTATATGACCAAGTTTTCTATGGTAATTCTGCAATTTTAACTAATTAGACGCTGTTGAATAACCTGTACAGTCTCTAGTTTTAATATTTTGGTTAAAAATTTTGCAAGTATCGTTAAACAAATTATAGGTCTACTAGGTGGATCAAGTTTCCGTCATTAGCAAATGATCAGGACGCCATGATTCGAAGCGAGCAATCAAACCCAAGTCCTTACTTTTTATTCAAATTTTATTAACATTCTCCTGCATTACATTTTTAAAAACAAAAATTTTACAACCTCAGGAGATTATAGGGATGAGTACCAAAATGGTTATAGAAATGACCATCAAGATGGCTATAAGGATAAGCACCATAACCAGGGCCATATGGGTAAAAGTGAGATAACCCGCTGTATGGCAGATGATGAGGGTACAACCCTCCATTGTATGGCAGATGATGAGGGTACAACCCTCCATCGTACGGCAGAACATACTCTGGTTTCAATGGCACAGGTACCAGTCGAATGGGGTTGACCAACTCGTGGTACTGTCCATCATCGCCACTCTCGCGAACTTCTCTATGCGCGTCATCTTCGTGATAGGTACCATCATCACCCTCCTCGTGCTTTTCCTCATGGTACAGTCCATCGTCTCCCTCGCTTACCGTCAACTCCTTGTAGGAACCATCGTCTCCGGTTGGTAACTCTTCATGGTAAGTACCATCATCGCCGCCTTCAGTGGAGTGGTCTCCGTGGTAGCTACCATCATCCACGCCCTCGATAACACGGTAGCTACCATCCTCGCCGCTTTCGTCACCGTGCATCTCATGGTACTGTCCATCGTCGCCGCCTTCGTCGTGGTGTTCGTCAAGGGGGAGGAGTTCGTGGTGCTCTTCGAAGCTGACGCGGCCGAGGATGCCGGCGTTGGCGGCGGCGAAAGCCAGGCACACTAGAATCTAGGAAACAAAGTAAAATGGGTGTTGGTAATTATAGTGGTTGCTTACTATGAGTTTCATTGTTGAAGACGCTGGTGATTCTGGTTGCTGGTAAAAAAGCGGAGCTTTATATAGTTCTTCCGTGTGGATTTTCCGTCATTATGGTTTAATTGTGTTGTCTGACGATGGTACGTTGGGTCAATCGATTGTGGAATATGATATGAGTGGTTATTAATGAGGTTTTATTTGTTGAGGCGATTTGGTGTAATCGATTTTCAATTATAGCTATAATGTTACATTTTTTTGTTATCTATAGGCGTGTTGGAATTGTACGTGGATGGTAGTTATGACATATTTGAATATTTATGGTATGTTTTTGTGAAAATTTGCACTAGTGGATTTAGCTAGTTGGTCAATTTTAGCATAATCTTAATTATTTTGGTATTTATTAGTATATTAATATACTTTTAATTTTTATATAAACCAATTTATTAATACTTGATTTTTAAATTTTCTTATATTTTACTCTCGGAGCTTAAGCTATGGAACTGGATTAATCATGACCTCTAGATTACGAAAAAATAGATCCTCCGTTTTCGCCTGTCTGTCCGGATTTCCAAATTTTTGAAAAAAAAATCAAAATTATATAAATTTTTAGATTTTTTTAAGTTTTAATTTTATTCTTTTTCGTTTTTTCATTTTTGATTTTTCAATTTTACTACTTTGCAGTTTTTCCATTTTTTGAAACGAAAAGTTGAAAAATCGAAAAACTAAAAAATTGAAAAAAATGAAGAACCAAAATATTGAAAAAGTTGCAAATCCAAGAACTGAAGAAACGATTATTTTAACTTATAAGGGTTATCATAAAAAAATTAAATCAAACCCTATAATTTTTCGAAAAATCTGGATTTATTTTACCTTCGACCAATTTTTTAATATCACAATTTGTCGTTTTTCCATTTTTCAATATTTCGGTTTAATAATTTTTTGTTAGTACCCCTTTAATTTTGTCAATTTTTTAATTTCTGGACTTCCAAATTTTTCGGTGTTTCGTTTCTTCAATTTCCCGATTTGCAATTTTTCATTTTTTGATTTTTCTGTCACAATTTTTGTTTTTTTTTATTTCCTTTATTTTTCAATATTTCTTTCGATTTTACTATTTTTCGTTTATTCAATTCTTCAAATTTATGATTTTCCAATTTCTTAAATCTTCAATTTTTCGGTTTTTCAAGTTTTTCATTTTTTAGTATCTCAATTTTTCAAGTTTTTAATTTCCACTTTTTAGATTTTTCTGAGTTTTCATTTTATACTTTTTGGTTTTTTATTTTTGATTTTAGATTTTTTGCATTTTTTGATTCGAAAAATTGCAAAATCGAAAAACTGGAAAATCAAAAAATTTCAAATCGAATAACTGAAGAAGCGAAAAATCGAAACATTGAAAAATCGAAAAGGCCAGAAACTTAAAATCGAAAAAATAATGAATCGAAATATTGGAAAGAAGAAATAAAGAATCGAAAAATTGGAAAAGCCAAAAATTGGAAAATCGAAAAATTATAGAACTGTCAAAATTGGAAGTCGAATAACTATAACACTGAAAGATCGAAACATTGGAAAATTAAATATCAATAAATTGAAAAATTAGAAATCGAAAAATTGAAAAAAAAAACTTTAAAGTATAGAAGTTGAAAAATCATAAAAGTGAAAAATCCAAAAATTGGAAAATTTTACATTGCAGGTAGAAAAATTAGAAAATCGAAATATCGAAAAGTCGAATAAATGAAAAAGTTTTAAAATCAAATATTGAAGAGTTGAAAAATTCTAAAATCGTAAAATTTAAAAAATTATAATTATTAATAGATACATATTTAAAGTAAAATCTGGAAAAATTGCAAATCAAAAATTGAAAAATCGATGGACGGAAAAATTTTAAATTCAAAACCCGAAAAATTTAAAAATATAGAACTTGAAAAATCGCAAAATTGAAAACCCAAAATTTGCAAATCGTAAAACTGAAAAATCCAAAAATTGGAAAATTTCACATTACAGAAAGAAAATTATAAAATCAGAACATTGAAAAACCGAAACGAAAACTGCAAATCGAAAAATTGAAGAAATGAAAAATTGCAAAATCTAAAAACTGTATTATCCAAAAGTTGGACAATCGGAAACCTGAAAAATTTATTACAACTCAAAAATTGCATATCGTAAAATTGAGGAAATAAAAAAAAATAAAATTGCAAATCGAAAAATTGAAGAAACGAAAAATTGTAAAAAAAGAATATGAAATCGGAACACTGAAAAATGTAAAAATTGTAAAAATAAAGGAAATAAAAAAACCGAAATCAAAAATTTAAAGAAATGAAAAATTAGAGAATGGAAAAACTGAAAAATTAAAAAATCGAATAAATGAAAAAGCTTTAAAATCTAATAGGAGTAATTGAAAAATGGAAAAATTATAAAATCCTAAGATTTAAAAAATTATAATTATTATTAGATACATAGGTATTTAAAGTAAAACCTAGAAAAATTGCAAATCAAAAATTGAAAAATCGATGAACTGAAAAACTTTAAATTGAAAAAACGAAAAATTTAAAAATACAGAAGTCGAAAAGCGCAAAAATTCCAAAAAAAAAAATCCAAACCGAAAAATTGAAAAGTCCAGAAATTCGAAAATTTCATATTGCAGAACGAAAAATTGGAAAATCAGAACACTGAAAAACCAAAACGAAAAATTGAAGAAATGAAAAATTGCAAAATCTAAAAACTGAATTATCCAAAAGTTGGAAAATCGGAAAACTGAAAAATTTATTACAACTCGAAAATTGCATATCGAAAAATTGAGGAAATAAGAAAAAAATTAAAAATTGCAAATCGAAAAATTGAAGAAACGAAAAATTGGAAAAAAAATGAAATCGGAACATTTAAAAATGTAAAAATAATAAAAATAAAGAAAATAAAAAACCGAAATCAAAAATTTAAAGAAATGAAAAATTGGAGAATAGAAAAATTGAAAAATTAAAAATTGAAAAATTACAAAATCGAATAAATGAAAAAGTTTTAAAATCTAATAGGAGTAATTGAAAAATGGAAAAATTTCAAAATCCTAAGATTTAAAAAATTATAATTATTATTAGATACATATTTAAAGTAAAACCTAGAAAAATTGTAAATCAAAAATTGAAAAATCGATCAACTGAAAAACTTTAAATTGAAAAAACGAATAATTTAAAAAAATAGAAGTCGAAAAACCACAAAATTGCAAAAAAATTTTCGAATCGAAAAATTGAAAAATCCAGAAATTGGAAAATTTCACATTACAGAAAGAAAAATTAGAAAAACAGAACATTAAAAACCCGAAACGAAAAATTGACGAAATGAAAAATTGCAAAATCTATAAACTGAATTATCTAAAAGTTGGAAAATCGGAAAACTGCAAAATTTATTACAACTCGAAGATTGCAACATATCGTAAAATTGAGGAAATAAAAAAAATGAAAAATTGAAAATCGAAAAATTGAAGGAACGAAAAATTGGAAAAAAAAGAATATGAAATCGGAACATTGAAAAATGTAAAAATTGTAAAAATAAAGAAAATAAAAGAACCGAAATCACAAATTTAAAGAAATGAAAAATTAGAGAATACAAAAATTGAAAAATTAAAAATTGAAAAATTAAAAAATCGAATAAATGAGAAAGTTTTAAAATCTAATAGGAGTAATTGAAAAATGGAAAAATTCTGAAATCCTAAGATTTAAAAAATTATAATTGTTATTAGATACATACATATTTAAAGTAAAACCTAGAAAAATTGCAAATCAAAAATTGAAAAATCGATGAACTGAAAAACTTTAAATTGAAAAAAGGAAAAATTTAAAAATACAGAAGTCGAAAAACCGCAAAATTGCAAAAAAACATTTCAAATCGAAAAATTGAAAAATAAAAAATTCGAAAATTTCACATTACAGAAAGAAAACTTACAAAATCAGAACATTGAAAAACCGAAACGAAAAACTGCAAATCGAAAAATTGAAGATGTGAAAAATTGCAAAATCTATAAACTGAATTATCCAAAAGTTGTAAAATCGGAAAACTGAAACATTTTTTACAGCTCGAAAATTGCATATCGTAAAATGGAGGAAATAAAAAAAAATAAAAATTACAAATCGAAAAGTTGAAGAAACGAAAAATTGTAAAAAAAGGAATATGAAATCGGAATATTGAAAAATGTAAAAATTGTAAAAATAAAGAAAATAAAAAAAGAAGAATTTAAAGAAATGAAAAATTAGAGAATAGAAAAATTGAAAAATTAAAAATTGAAATATCAAAAAATCGAATAAATGAAAATGTTTTAATGTTTTAAATTCTAATAATTGAAAAATGAAAAAATTCTAAAGTCGTGAAATTTTAAAAAATTATAATTATTGTTATATACATATTTAAAGTAAAACCTAGAAAAATTGGAAAATCAAAAATTGAAGAATCGATGAACTGAAAAATTTTAAATTGAAAAACGAAAAATTTTAAAATATAGAAGCTGAAAAATCGAAAAATTGAAGAAATGAAAAATTGCAAAATGTAAAAACTAAATTATCCAAATGTTGGAAAATCGGAAAACTGAAAAATTTATTACAACTCGAAGATTGCATATCGTAAAATTGAGGAAATAAACAAACTGAAAAATTGCAAATCGAAAAATTGAAGAAACGAAAAATTGGAAAAGCAAAGAATATAAAATCGGAACATTGAAAAATGTAGAAATTGTAAGAATAAAGAATATAAAAAAACGAAACCAAAAATTTAAAGAAATGAAAAATTAAAGAGTTGAAAAATTTAAAAATTAAAAATCGAAATATTAAAAAATCGAATAAATGAAAAAGTTCTTAAAATCTAATAATTGAAGAAACGAAAAATTGGAAAAAAAGGAATATGAAATCGGAACATTGAAAAATGTAAAAATTGTAAAAATAAAGAAAAAAAAAACCAAAACCAAAAATTTAAAGAAATGAAAAATTAAAGATTAGAAAAATTGCAAAATCTAAAAATTGAAAAATTCAAGATTTGGAAAATTGAAAAACCGAACAATTTAAACTTGCAAGCTCAAAAAATTGCAAATCGAAAAACTGAAAAAGCAAAAGAACAGAAAAATTGAAGAACTGAAATACTCAAGTCAAATAAACTGGGGTAGTATTATTCCTTACGCCACTAGTTTTTACTTTATCAGGTTATCAGAAAACAGAAATCGCAAAAAAAAAGTTCTAGTTTTTCAAAGAAACGGGGTGCACTTCAAGAGCGAGGGAAGTTCCGTCGACATAACCTTCGACCATTTTTTTTAAGTTAACAATAGGCTTTTTGTTCGTTTTCGAAAAATTATGACAAATTTTTGCTCTTGTTTAAAACAAAGTAGGCCTTAATATATAATTAAAACGCATTTTTTTTATAAATTGTGTTTATTTAAATATTTACAAAAAATATTCAACAATCACAAACCGCCAAAAAACAGGCAGCAACACACACTTGACTATAAAAAACTCATAAATCTACACACTCCCTCAATAGAAGCCCTTGGAATATCCAAATCCACCAGCATATCCCAATCCACCGGCATATCCCAACCCACCGGCATATCCCAATCCACCGGCATATCCTACTCCTACAGCGGGAGCAGCGTAGCTGGCGATCGCAGGAGCGGCATAACTGGCGACAGCAGGAGCGGCATACGCTACAGGAGCGGCAACGGGAGCTACAGCCTTAACGTGAAGAGGTTCCTTGTGCACAACAGCATTGAAACCGTTATGGGGATCGGCGGCATACTCGACAGTACGTCTGGTACCATCAGGGTCCACCAAGGAGTAACTTCCCTGGACAACATCTCCACGACGAGATTCATGCTGGGTTTTGCTGTCACCAGTATGAGGATCGTTGACACCGTAGGCGAAATCGTAGTGGGCGGGGGCGAAGGGCTCAGCAACTACGGCTTTGGCAACGGGAGCGGCGTAGGCGGCGACGGCGGGAGCGTGGTATGCGGCAACGGCGGGGGCGGCATAGGAGGCTACGGCGGGAGCGTGATACGAGGCTACGGCGGGAGCGTGGTAGGAGAGCGCTGGGGCGGCGGCGTAGGAGATGGGGGCGGCGGCGTAGCCCAAGGGGGCGCCAGCGTGGGCGAAGGTCAAGAGAGTGGCGAAGACGATGTACTGGAAAATCGCAATTATTATAAAATTGTCTGTACAATTTTTTTTGTTAATTATTTTTGTGTTATTTTGTACTTACTTTGAATGCCATGTTGTTGCTCTGTTCTTTGTTTCGAGTCTGATTTGTCCCGACACTTGTCAATTTTTATACGCACTGAAAAGGAGGTGTGGTCGACTCCTACTGATGCTGTAAGCCTAAACCAGAAAACTGTATTCTTGTAAAACTAGTTAAATTCGAGCATTTTTTGTGCGAGGTTTGCATTTTTTCCTACTATTGTGATAACCTTTAAAAATTTCGTAAAATGCGTTCTTATTTTGTTATTGTATTCGGACTCGTTTAAATATTACTTTCTCTTTTTTTCATTAAGTAATGTTTATGTTAATTTGGCATAGCGTAGATTTTATCTGTGATAGCGTCTTGTAATGAAGGTCTGGTATGGGACAGTAAAAAATCGATTACTGTATATGGAAATGCTTGTGAAGTGGTCAAAATTGACAAAATTTTAACAAAAAGGCTCAAGTTTTGTAAATTAAGTGTACTTTCCGCAAAAATTTAAAGCATTCGCCCACTGATGTTTCAAAATGAAAAAAAAAAGTTAATGACCCTAATACTTAAACTTGTATTTAATGGAAAAGTTATATCAGAGTACGTCTGAGACTAATAAAATTTTGTCAATTTTAAACTGTCTACAATTTTTTTTAATTCAATTTTATTAGTACAAAATTCTGATTTTAAATTAGATACGTTCTCATAAATTTTTTATACAGCTACGCATTAATAATGAGGTTTCGCAGTGATTAAAATTAGGATTCCTGTTTTTTTCGGTATATGTGACTCCAAAATTGTGTGAACTTTTCTGAAAGCTTTTTCACCATATATTCATCCAAAAATATTCAAATAATAATTACCACTTTAATATGATATCAGGCTATATTGCGTTTATCAAAATCTCGTCTCATTTTAACAATTTCTTTAAACTAAAAAAACATCTTGTCGTCAACAAAAAATCAAAATAGATAAGTACTGAAACTCGGTCCTTGTCAAAGCCAGAGTTGGCTACATTTTTGTGTAAAACAAATAAACAAAGTATACCGCAGCTACTGCATTCTTCTACTATTTGAGCTTACATCTCTATGAATAGGAGGACTATCATACTCTTTCAAGCTGTATTATTTAAGGTAATACCAAATCTCTTTACATCATCTAAAATGAAAGGCGCAAATGTTGAAATATCCCAGAAATAAAAAATTTGCTCGAAGCATTGTATTGACAATTTTATTATTTCAAGTTGATCTTTGTCCATGTCCTGATCCCATTTTTTTAAGACACAATTTTTGCATCACATTTATTAAAAAATTTCAGAAAAAAATTTAACTGTTATTTTAAAAATATTTCAAAGTGGAGCTTGCGTTGAGATGTCTCCTAATACCCATTAAAAACAGCCAAAAATCAAGTTCAGTTTCTTAGATAAATTATAAAATTTAACTCTGCGAATTTATTTTTTCTTTTTGTAATATTATAAAAAAAAACTAAGTACTTCCAACTAAACACCAAGAACCACGAGATTTTTTCAACTTTTTTCAGAAATAAAATACTAGGGGATACCTAGATTATTTCAACTTCTTTTAAAAACAAAAGGGATCCCCACATTTTTTCAAATTCTGAAAAAAGCAATAGAGCCCCCAGAGATTCTGTCAATTTTTTTCAAAAACAAAACACCAGGGAATCCAGAATTCTTTGAAATTTAAAAAAAAAAACGACTAGGGACTCCCGAAATTCTTTCAAATTCTGAAAAAAGCAATAGGAGCCCTCGACATTCTTTTAACTTTCTTCAGGAACATGACATTAGAGGACACCCAAGAAAGACTCTTTCAACTTCTATAAAAAATAAAGAACCAAGGACCACGGGATTTTTTCAAATTCTTTGAAAAAGCACTAGAGATCCACGAGATTCTTTCAACTTTTTAAAAACAAAACACTAGGGAATCCCGAATTCTTTCAAATTCTAGAAAGAATCAGTTGAGACCCCCGAGATTCTTTCAACTTCTTTCAAAAATAAAAGGACCTCGAAATTTTTCCACATTCTGAAAAAAGCACTAGGATCTTCCGAGATTCTTTCAAATTCTTTAAAAAAAGCTCTAGGGACCTCCGAAATTCTTTCAACCTTTTTCAGCAACAAAATACTAGGAAATCCCCAAATTCTTTCAACTTCTTTCAAAAACAAAGGGACCTAGAAATTTTTTCAGATTCTGGAAAAAGCACTAGGAGCCCACGAGATTCTTTTAAATTCTTAAAAGAAACGACGAAAGGGACCCCGAAATTCTTTCAACTTTTTTCAGAAACAAAACACTAGAGGACCCCAGATTCTTTCAATTTCTTTCAAAAACAAAAGGGACATCGAAATTTTTTCAAATTCTGGAAAAAGCACTAGGAACCCTCGACATTCTTTTAAATTTTTCAGGAACATGACATTAGAGGACACCCAAGACTCTTTCAACTTCTATAAAAAATAAAGCACCAAGGACCACGGGATTTTTTCAAATTCTTTGAAAAAGCACTAGAGATCCTCGAGATATCTTCAACTTTTTAAAAACAAAACACCAAGGAATCCCGGATTCTTTCAAATTCTAGAAAGAACCAGTTGAGACCCCCGAGATTCTCTCAACTTCTATCAAAAATAAAAGGGACCTCGAAATTTTTTCAAATTCTGAAAAAATCAGTAGGATCTCCCGAAATTCTTTCAAATTCTTTAAAAAAAGCTGTAGGGACCTCCGAACTTCTTTCAACTTTTTTCAGCAACAAAATACTAGGAAATCTCCAAATTCTTTCAACTTCTTTCAAAAACAAAAGGGACCTCAAAATTTTTTCAAATTCGGAAAAAAGCACTAGGAGCCCACGAGATTCTTTCAAATTCTTAAAAAAAACGACTAGAGACCCCCGAAATTTTTTCAACTTTTTTCAAGAACAAAACACTAGAGGCCCCAGATTCTTTCAATCTTTTTCAAAAACAAAAGGGACTTCGAAATTTTTTCAAATTCTGGAAAAAGCACTAGAGACCCTCGACATTGTTTTAACTTTCTTCAGGAACATGACATTATAGGACACCCAAGACTCTTTCAACTTCTATATATAAAAATAAAGAACCAAGGACCACGAGATTTTTTCAAATTCTTTAAAAAAGCACTAGAGATCCTCGAGATTCCTTCAACTTTTTAAAAACAAAACACCAAGGAATCCCGAATTCTTTCAAATTCTAAAAAGAACCACTAGAGACCACCGAGATTCTTTCAACTTCTTTCAAAAATAAAAGGAACATCGACATTTTTTCAAATTCTGAAAAAAGCACTAGGATCTCCCGAGATTCTTTCAAATTCTTTAAAAAAAGCTCTAGGGACCTCCGAAATTTTTTCAACTTTTTTCAGCAACAAAATATTAGGATATCCCCAAATTCTTTCAACTTCTTTCAAAAACAAAAGGGACCTCGAATTTTTTTCAAATTCTGAAAAAAACACTACGATCTCCCGAGATTCTTTCAAATTTTTTAAAAAAAGCTCTAGGGACCTCCGAGATTCTTTCAAATTTTTTCAGCAACAAAATACTAGGAGATTCCCAAATTCTTTCAACTTCATTCAAAAACAAAAGGGACCTCGAAATTTTTTCAAATTCTGAAAAAAGCACTAGGAACCCACGAGATTCTTTCAAATTCTTAAAAAAAAAAAACGACTAGGGAGCCCCGAAATTCTTTCAACTTTTTTCAAGAACAAAACACTAGAGGCCCCAGATTCTTTCAACCTTTTTCAAAAACAAAAGGGACTTCGAAATTTTTTCAAATTCTGGAAAAAGCACTAGAGACCCTCGACATTGTTTTAACTTTCTTCAGGAACATGACATTATCGGACACCCAAGACTCTTTCAACTTTTATATATAAAAAATAAAGAATCAAGGACCACGAGATTTTTTCAAATTCTTTAAAAAAGCACTAGAGATCCTCGAGATTCCTTCAACTTTTTAAAAACAAAACACCAAGGAATCCCGAATTCTTTCAAATTCTAAAAAGAACCACTAGAGACCCCCGAGATTCTTTCAACTTTTTTCAAAAATAAAAGAAACATCGAAATTTTTTCAAATTCTGAAAAAAGCACTAGGATCTCCCGAGATTTTTTCAAATTCTTTAAAAAAATTCTAGGGACCTCCGAAATTCTTTCAACTTCTTTCAGCAACAAAATACTAGGAAATCCCCAAATTCTTTCAACTTCTTTCAAAAACAAAAGGGACCTCGAAATTTTTTCAAATTCTGAAAAAAGCACTAAGAGCCCACTAGATTCTTTCAAATTCTTAAAAGAAAACGACTAGGGACCCCCGAAATTCTATCAACTTTTTTCAAAAACAAAACACTAGAGGACCCCAGATTCTTTCAACTTTTTTCAAAAACAAAAGGGACCTCGAAATTTTTTCAAATTCTGGAAAAAGCACTAGGGACCTTCGACATTCTTTTAACTTTCTTCAGGAACATGACATTAGAGGACACCCAAGAAAGACTCTTTCAACTTCTATTAAAAATAAAGCACCAAGGACCACGGGATTTTTTCAAATTCTTTGAAAAAGCATTAGAGATCCTCGAGATACTTTCAACTTTTTAAAAACAAAACACCAAGGAATCCCGGATTCTTTCAAATTCTAGAAAGAATCAGTTGAGACCCCCGAGATTTTTTCAACTTCTTTCAAAAATAAAAGGGACCTCGACATTTTTCAAATTCTGAAACAAGCACTAGGATCTCCGGAGATTCTTTCAAATTCTTTAAAAAAAGCTCTAGGGACCTCCGAAATTCTTTCAACCTTTTTCAGCAACAAAATACTAGGAAATCCCCAAATTCTTTCAACTTCTTTCAAAAACAAAGGGACCTAGAAATTTTTTCAGATTCTGGAAAAAGCACTAGGAGCCCACGAGATTCTTTTAAATTCTTAAAAGAAACGACGAAAGGGACCCCGAAATTCTTTCAACTTTTTTCAGAAACAAAACACTAGAGGACCCCAGATTCTTTCAATTTCTTTCAAAAACAAAAGGGACATCGAAATTTTTTCAAATTCTGGAAAAAGCACTAGGAACCCTCGACATTCTTTTAAATTTTTCAGGAACATGACATTAGAGGACACCCAAGACTCTTTCAACTTCTATAAAAAATAAAGCACCAAGGACCACGGGATTTTTTCAAATTCTTTGAAAAAGCACTAGAGATCCTCGAGATATCTTCAACTTTTTAAAAACAAAACACCAAGGAATCCCGGATTCTTTCAAATTCTAGAAAGAACCAGTTGAGACCCCCGAGATTCTCTCAACTTCTATCAAAAATAAAAGGGACCTCGAAATTTTTTCAAATTCTGAAAAAATCAGTAGGATCTCCCGAAATTCTTCCAAATTCTTTAAAAAAAGCTCTAGGGACCTCCGAGATTCTTTCAAATTTTTTCAGCAACAAAATACTAGGAGATTCCCAAATTCTTTCAACTTCATTCAAAAACAAAAGGGACCTCGAAATTTTTTCAAATTCTGAAAAAAGCACTAGGACCCCACGAGATTCTTTCAAACTCTTAAAAAAAAACGACTAGGAACCCCGGAAATTCTTTCAACTTTTTTCAGGAACAAAACACAAGAGGACCCCAGATTCTTTCAACTTGTTTCAAAAACAAAAGGGACTTCGAAATTTTTTCAAATTCTGGAAAAAGCACTAGAGACCCTCGACATTGTTTTAACTTTCTTCAGGAACATGACATTATCGGACACCCAAGACTCTTTCATCTTTTATATATAAAAAATAAAGAATCAAGGACCACGAGATTTTTTCAAATTCTTTAAAAAAGCACTAGAGATCCTCGAGATTCCTTCAACTTTTTAAAAACAAAACACCAAGGAATCCCGAATTCTTTCAAATTCTAAAAAGAACCACTAGAGACCCCCGAGATTCTTTCAACTTTTTTCAAAAATAAAAGGAACATCGAAATTTTTTCAAATTCTGAAAAAAGCACTAGGATCTCCCGAGATTCTTTCAAATTCTTTAAAAAAAGCTCTAGGGACCTCCGAAATTCTTTCAACTTTTTTCAGCAACAAAATATTAGGATATCCCCAAATTCTTTCAACTTCTTTCAAAAACAAAAGGGACCTCGAAATTTTTTCAAATTCTGAAAAAAGCACTGAGAGCCCACGAGATTCTTTCAAATTCTTAAAAAAACGACTAGGGACCCCCGAAATTCTATCAACTTTTTTCAGGAACAAAACACTAGAGGACCCTAGATTCTTTAAACTTTTTTCAAAAACAAAAGGGACTTCGAAATTTTTTCAAATTCTGGAAAAAGCACTAGGGACTTTCGACATTTTTTTAACTTTCTTCAGGAGCATGACATTAGAGGACACCCAAAACTCTTTCAACTTCTATAAAAAAAAATAAAGCAACTTTTTAAAAACAAAACACCAAGGAATCCCGAATTCTTTCAAATTGTAGAAAGAACCACTTGAGACCCCCGAGATTCTTTCAACTTCTTTCAAAAATAAAAGGAACATCGACATTTTTTCAAATTCTGAAAAAAGCACTAGGATCTCCCGAGATTCTTTGAAATTCTTTAAAAAAAGCTCTAGGGACCTCCGAAAATCTTTCAACTTTTTTCAGCAACAAAATACTAGGAAATCGCCTAATTCTTTCAACTTCTTTCAAAAACAAAAGGGAATTCGAAATTTTTTCAAATTCAGAAGAAAGCACTAGGGACCCCCAGATTTTTTTAACTTATTTCAGGAACAGGACATTAGAGGACCCCAAGACATTCAAATTCTATAAAAAATAAAACATCAAGGACAAGGGGATTCCTTCAAATTCTTTGAAAAAGCACTAGAGATCCTCGAGATTTTTTCAACTTTTTTCAAAAACAAAACACTAAGCAACCTCAAATTCTTCAAATTCTAAAAATAGAACACTAGGGACCTCCGAGATTCTTTCAACTTTTTTTAGGAACGAAACATTAGAGAATCTCCAAGACCACGGTATTCTTTGAAATTCTCAAAAAAAGCACAAGGGACCCCCGAAATTCTTTCAACTTTTTTTAACAAAACGGAGATTCTTTGAAATTCTAAAAAAAAAGCAAAAAGCCCCAAGATTCTCTCAACTTTTTTCAGGAACAAAACACTAGGGGACTCCGAGATTCTCTCAAAGTCTTAAAAAAGGCCTTATATTCGAGAGATTCTTTCAATTTTTTCACAAACAAGACACTTGGGGATCCAAAATTCTTTCAAATTCGTTAAAAAATATCACTAGGGATCCTGAGATTGTTTCAATTTCTCTAAAAAACAAAACATCAGGTACACCGAGATACTTTCAAATTCTTTAAAAAAGGACTTAGAAGCCCCGAGATTCTCTCAACTTTTTTCAAGAACAAAAGACTAGGGGACTCCGAGACTGTTTCAACTTCTGTAAAGACAAAACATCAGGGACCCTAAAACTCTCTCAAATTCTTGAAAAGGTACTAAATTCAAGAGATTCTTTCAATTTTTTTCACAAACAAGACACTTAGGTAACAGTTTCACCTTCAAACTAAACAGAATAATTGTTTTTAAGGTTATGATCAATTTTGGAAGAAAACATTCAGATAATTTATATAAGTTTTTATAAAACTGTGTTTGATTAGTTTTAACTTTGTCTATTTCTTTAGTAGTAAGATCAATTGAAGATAATATATATAAAAAAATATAAAGGACGAAAAATAAAGGTCCAAACGGTTGAAGGTAGAAAAAAGAATTCTTAAAATTTTCTACGATCAGTTACTCTTTCAAACTGTATTGTTTAAGGTTAGACCAGATCTCTTTACATCATCTATAATGAAAGGCGAAAAAATGTTGAAATCTTTCAGAAATAAAAAAATTGCTCCAAGGACTGTATTGACAATTTTATTGTTTCAGGTTGGTCTTTGGTCCACATCCTGTTCTCTTTTTTTTCGAATTACATGAAGCAAGCAAGTGTTATAAATATTCCAAATTGGATTCTTAAACTGTTTTTTATTCCATTTTTAAGTCTTTGAAGTTTCTGTGGTTGTTATATTTTCTTAGATCGGATAATCTAGTAAATCGTTACCAAATAATAATCAAACAACAATAAATTAGTTTAAAAAATATTTATTTGAGCTATTTGTACAAAAAAAAAAATACTCAAATTACATGGCATATTCCCGCCTAAAAAAATTTAGACGTCATTCACACAACGCTATCACATTCACACTTTAAAAAATGGCCTTAGAGTACCCCCCAGCATACCCTCCAGCATACCCTCCATACCCTGCATATCCCAACCCTACAGCAGGAGCGGCATAACTGGCAATCGCAGGAGCGGCATAACTGGCGACAGCAGGAGCCGCATAACTGGCAACAGCAGGAGCCGCATAGGCGGCAACCGGAGCGGCAACCTTGGCCACAGCAGGAGCGGCGTACGCTACAGGAGCGGCAACAGGAGCTACAGCCTTAACATGAAGAGGTTCCTTGTGGACAACAGCGTTGAAACCATTGTGGGGATCAGCAGCGTATTGCACAACACGTCTGGTACCATCAGGATCCACAACGGAGTAACTTCCCTGGACGACATCCCCACGGCGAGATTCCTGCTGGGTCTTGCTGTCACCGGTGTGAGGGTCGTTGACTCCGTAGCCGAAATCGTAGTGAGCTGGGGCGAAGGGTTCAGCTACGACGGCTTTAGCGACGGGGGCGGCATAGGCCACAGGGGCGACGGCTTTGGCGATGGGGGCGGCGTACGTGACGGCGGGGGCGGCATAGCTGACTGGAGCTACTGCTTTAGCTGCGTAGGTGATTCCGGGGGATGCGTAAGAGGTCACTGCGGGAGCGGCATAGGAGGCTATGGCGGGAGCGGCGTAGGAGGCGATGGCGGGAGCGGCATAGGAGGCTATGGCGGGAGCGGCGTAGGAGGCGACTGCTGGAGCGGCGTAGGAGAGAGCGGGGGCGGCGGCGTAGCCCAAAGGGGCGCCGGCACGGGCTAAGGCCAAGAGGGCGGAGAAAACGACGAACTGGAAAAGATTATCAATGTTATCAACAGAAATCAGATGCGTCAACGTCAAATAAATAATAACAATGTCGATTATTGACGGATACACAAAGAACTTTTTCGAAATCAGTTGAATGCATGATCAACAAACAATATCAATTTTTTTTTTGTCATAATTATTGATAATCAATAATCGACACACTAAACGAACACTTTTCGACGCCACTTTTCGCTCACACTGTATACAACGGCACTTACTTTGAATGCCATGTTGTTCACTTGCTTCTTCTGTTCGACTGTGCCTCCTCAGATCCCTGTATCAATTTTTATACAAAATTCTAGGGTAGGTGTGTCCACTACTCCTCCAGTGCGTTATGATCCCAAACCAGAAGACTGTACTATGTATTCTTGTAAAACGAGTCGCCGGCGAGCATTCTTTTCAAAACGATACACTTCAGGTTTGAAAAGTGTATCAATTAAAACGACCTTACGTAATTAACTGGCTGAAAGGTCAGGTTATGTGCATGCAGTTTTGTAACGTTTCCGATTATAATAAATTAATTATTCCGCTAGTTGCCATTACTCGAGATTCGATCGGATGTGGCGAAATGGGATTATAAATCTGATTATTCGCGGAATTTTAATTGTTGACGTGTGTGGCAGAGTTTTGAAATTTTCTAATTTAGCGTGGACTTTTTACGTCTCGGAGACGTGTGGATTTAATCGTGAACTTGCTGAGTGCGTTGGGTTTCGTAAGAGGCGAGTGGACTATTAATCCAGTTATTACAAATAGCGGTTTGGACAAACGTAAAGTTCATCAGTTTACGTAATTTTGTAAAAATGCTTTTTTCAAGTGAATGCTACTCGGTATGAGTGTGCAGGCTCATTAATTGCAGTTCTAGAATTTTTTCGCTCCACTTCCTGAGTGATAGCTGGTTGTTTTCGCTTGTGTGTCGGAAATTTACTAGCTGGACAATCTCCGAGACTGCGGAGATGATTCCTTTTAAATTCGCACTGCGGCGGAAGAACGCGACGAAAAATTGGCGATTTATTCCGGCTAAAAAGTTGATGACGTCAGCTGAGGTTGTCACGAAATAAATCGCTGTTTAATTATACCCACTGTGTACGAGTATTTGGAACTGGTGCCAGTAGAGCCTTAGTAATGAAATTGCTCTGTATTATTATTTATATTGTTCTGACCGATATATTTCTGGCCAATAAAATCCAATATTTTTCTAACAAACGTGAAAATTTATTGTTATTCTTATCTTGATAGATGGGTATTCGGTGTTCCCATAATTAAACAGACTCTTTCAAAATACTTCAAGGACAAGACATCCCAGATCACAGAATTTCCAGACTTTTTTGGACTACTTAAAAACACTCAAAGGGACTCCGAAATTCATTCACATTACTTCAAAAACAACAACACAGGGGTCTCCGAGATTCTTTCAAATTACCTCATAAAGAATACCCACAGGGGGTCCGCGAGATCCTTTTAACCTTCTTCAAAAAGTCAACACACGTGGACACCGAGATTCTTTCAAACTTTACTTCAAAAACCAGACACAAGGTATCCCCCAGATTCTTTCAAGCTACTTCAAAAACTCAACACAAGGGAGCCCCGAGATTTTTTATAAATACCTCGAAAAGAATACCCACAGGGGCTCCGCGAGATCCTTTCAAACTTCTTCGAAAATACAACACACGAGCTCCCCGAGTTTCTTTCAAACTAAGTACTTCAAAAACCAGACACAAAGAAAAAAAAAAGTGGTCCCCGAGATTCTTTCAAATTACTTCAAAAACCAGATACAAGAAATCCCCAAGATCCTTTCAAACTTCTTCGAAAACACAACACATGAGGTCCCCGAAATTCTTTCAAACTAATTCAAAAACACAACACAAGAACTCCCCGAAATTCTTTCAAACTACTTCAAAAACCAGACACTAGAAATCCCCAAGATTCTTTCAAACTACTTCAAAAACACAACACAAGAGCTCCCCGAGATTCTTTCAAACTATTTCAAAAACCAGACACAAGGGATCCCTGAAATTCTTTCAAACTACTTCTAAAACCCAATAAAAGGGATCTCGGAGTTTTTTCAAATCACGTTAAAAACAAAATAAGTGATTCCTGAGTTCAAACTACTTCAGGAACAAAACGAAAGGCGTCCCGGAGATTCTTTCATCTACTTCAAAAACAAAACATAAAGAATCCTCGAAATTTATTCAAACTACTTCAAAAACCAGCCACAAGGGATTCCCGTGATTCTTTCAAACTATTTCAAAAACATAACACAAACAGTCGCCAAGACTCTTTCAAATTACTCTAAAAACAAAATAAAAGTGGTCCCCGAGATTCTTTCAAACTACTTCAAAAACCAGATACAAGAAATCCCCAAGATCCTTTCAAACTTCTTCGAAAACACAACACATGAGGTCCCCGAGATTCTTTCAAACTACTTCAAAAACCAGATACAAGAAATCCCCAAGATCCTTTCAAACTTCTTCGAAAACACAACACATGAGGTCCCCGAGATTCTTTCAAACTACTTCAAAAACACAACACAAGAGCTCCCCGAGATTCTTTCAAACTATTTCAAAAACCAGACACAAGGGATCCCTGAAATTCTTTCAAACTACTTCTAAAACGCAATAAAAGGGATCTCGGAGTTTTTTCAAATTACGTTAAAAACAAAATAAGGGATCCCTGAGTTCAAACTACTTCAGGAACAAAACGAAAGGCGTCCCGGAGATACTTTCAAATTACTTCAAAAACAATACCCACAGAAAATCCCCGAGATTCTTTCATCTACTTCAAAAACAAAACAAAGAATCCTCGAAATTTCTTCAACTACTTCAAAGACCAGCCACAAGGGATTCCCGTGATTCTTTCAAACTACTTCAAAAACATAACACAAACAGTCGCCACGATTCTTTCAAATTACTCTAAAAACAAAATAAAAGTGGTCCCCGAGATTCTTTCAAACTACTTCAACAACCAAACACAAGGAATCCCCAAGCTACTTTCGAACTACTTCAAAAACACAACACAAGAGGTCCCCGAGATTCTTCCAAACTATTTCAAAAACCAGACACAAGGGATCCTGAAATTCTTTCAAACTACTTTAAACGCAATAAAAGGGATCTCGGAGTTTTTTCAAATTACGTTAAAAACAAAATAAGTGATCCCTGAGTTCAAACTACTTCAGAAACAAAACGAAAGGCGTCCCGAAGATTCTTTCAAATTACTTCAAAAACAATACCCACAGAGAATCCCCGAGATTCTTTCATCTACTTCAAAAACAAAACATAAAGAATCGTCGAAATTTCGTCAAACTACTTCAAAAACCAGCCACAAGGGATCCCCGTGACTCTTTCAAACTACTTAAAAAAATAACACAAACAGTCGCCAAGATTCTTTCAAATTACTCTAAAAACAAAATAAAAGTGGTCCCCAAAATTCTTTCAACCTACTTCAAAAACATATCACAAGGCGTCCTCGAGATTCTTTCAAATTATTAAAAAAAAGGTCTCCGGAGATACTTTACTTCAAAAACAAGACCCTCAGGGGGTTTCCGAGATTCTTTCAAACTACTTAAAAAACCAGACACAAGTGATCCCTGAGATTCTTTCAAACTACTTCAAGAACCAGACATAAGGGTTCCTCGAAATTCTATCAAATTACTTCAAAAACAAAACCCACAGGGGATCCGCCAGATTATTTCGTACTTCAAAAACCAGACAGAAGGGATTGCTCACATTCTATCAAAATACTTCAAAAACGCAACATCAGGATCTCGGGTTTCTTTCAAATTACGGTAAAAACAAAATTAAGATACTCCCGAGTTCCAAATACTTCAAAAACAAAAGAAAAGTATTCCCAGAGATTCTTTCGAATTACTTCAAAAACGAGACCCACAGGGGTCCGAGATTCTTTGAAACTACTTCAAAAATACAGCACAAGGAGCCTACAAAACTCTTTTAAATTACTTTAAAAACACCATCCACAGGGGATCTGTGAGATTCTTTCGTACTTCAAAAACCAGATAGAAGGGATTCCTCAGATTCTTTCAAAATACTTCAAAAACGCAACACCAGGATCCCGGGCTTCTTTCAATTTACGGTAAATCAAGATAAAGGGATTCACGAGTTCAAACTATTTCAGAAACAAAAGAAAAGGGTTCCCGAAGATTCTTTCAAATTACTTCAAAAGCAAGACCCACAGGAGATCCGCGAGATTCTTTCAAACTACTTCAAGAACCAGATACAAGGAATCGCTGAAATTCTTTCAAACTAATTCAAAACCGCAATACAAGGGATTTCCGAGTTTCTTTAAATTACGTAAAAAACAAAATAAAGGATCCCCGATTTCAAACTGCTTCAGAAACAAAAGAAAAGTGCTCCCAGAGATTCTTTCAAATTACTTCAAAAACAAGACCCATAGGAGATCAACAAGAGTTCTCCAAATTTATTCAAACTACTTCAAAAACCAGACACCGAGATTCTTTCAAACTATTTCAAATACACAACACAAAAAGTTTTGGAGATTCTTTCAAATTATTAAAAAAAAAAAAACAAGAAGTCACGGAGATACTTTCAAATTACTTGGAAACGAAGACCCACAGAGAGTTCCCGAGATTTTTTCAAACTACTTCAAAAACACGACCCACAGGGGGTCCCGAGATTCTTTGAAACTACTTCAAAAATACAGCACAAGGCGTCTCGAAGACTCTTTTAACACTCCAAAAACAAAACCCACAGGGGATCCGCCAGATTCTTTCGTGCGTACTTCAAAAACCACACGGAACGGATTCCTTAGATTCTTTCAAAATACTTTAAAAACGTAACACCAGGATACCAATTTTTTTGAAATAATGGTGAAAACAAGATAAGAGATTCCCAAGTTCAAACTGCTTCAGAAATAAAAGAAAAGGGTTTCCGGAGATTCTTTCAAATTATTTCAAAAACAAGACCCATAGGAGATCCCCGAGATTCTTTCAAACTACTTCAAAAACTAGACATAAGGGATTCCTGAGATTCTTTTAAATTACTTCAAAAACACAACACAAGGGATCGCGAGATTCTTTCAAACTACTTCAGAAACAAAACATAAGGGGTTCCGAAGATTCTGCCAAATTACTTCAAAAACAAGACCTACAGGAGGTCCCCGAGATTCTTTCAGCTACTTCAAAAACAAAACACGAAGAGCCCTCGAAATTCTTTCAAACGACTTCAAAAACCAGATCCTAAAGGGTCCAAATTTTTATATTTTTAAATGAAGTATAATTTCGGCCTTTCAGGCACCTGTATAAATTTTTCCCGCAGTGCTTCAGCAGGTCCCATTCTCCCCTGCTCTTATGACCTATAATATTATTGATTAAATCAAGAATGATTTACACCTAGCGAAAAAAAAATTGTTTAAATGACATTTTTTTTTCTAACAACTTAATAACACTAAAAAAATCGAAACACTCCTTCCTTGATTTTTTTTTTCATAGATAAAGTTTTAACAATTTTTACACTGCACGTATAAGAATTGACATGCGCGTCCTTTTCGAAATAAAGTTGACCAAAACATTTTCAAATGGGAAAACTCGCTAGAAACTCTGTTAAATTAAAAAATATATTTCAGACGCTTTTATATCATTATAGTGAAGCGATTTAAAAAAAAGAATCTTCTAGAAATTTGTAAAAATCTTGGTGGTGTTAGTATTTTGTTTTTGAAAGAATCTTCAAGAAACTTAATGGATTTGATGAACCTTAGTCTGGTTATAAGAGGTATCACAACAAAACTAAACTTTTTATTCTTCTTCCCCTTCTCCCTCCTTAGCAATTGTAGCCGGAACTTTTTTTTTTGACTTGTACCACAGGGACGACGGAAGTTCTATTGTTGTTGTGAGTGTTATTTTTTTTATTTGCCTGTATTTTATTTATGGGGTGAAGTTTAAAATAGTCAATTTCAGAAACAAAACATCGAAAGAAAGAAGAAGACCAACATTGAAGAAAATAGAAAATTTGTTGTTAAAATAATATATAAAAGTAGTTAAATGTAAAAATTTAATGGAAAACAAATTATTTAAAAAATTATAAAATATCGTAGGCAACCACAAATACAAGCGCGTATTGAAAGATACATATACCAATGTCGCTTTTAGGCATGGCCTATGAAATTTGAATATTTCAAAATTTAAAAGGAAATTAATACTAATTAGTACTAATTAGACCATTATACAAACAATTACGAAATTAAAAACTATTTGGTACATATATTTTTATAAAATAGCTTTTTAATTATTTCATTATTTTGTTGCACTTTTCATCGACTAATTTACTAGTTACCATTATTATTTTTTGGTGATATATTATTTTCTTTTTTTTAATAGTTTTTCGCTTTCAAACAAACATGATACATGAATAATACGTACTTAGAAATTTATGAAAATTTAAAGTAAGACAAAAAAATCAAATTGTGTCTTGAGACATTATTTTTTAATATTCACAAACTTTTCTGTTTTTATTTTTCCGATTGTTCTACTTTTATTTGCAAATTCAAACTATAATATATCTTTGATTCCCACCGAATGCACAAATCTAAAACAACTTTTAGTCGAGATGAAAATTTCTCCGTGTCTTCGCACTCAATAACTGTTTTCAAATGCTGTGTTTAGAAATGTCATTAAGATTATAATCATTGCACGTAAAAACGTAATCCGCCTTCATAACTGTCCCGCGTTTTTTATTCCACCGATAGCAAAAACTTCCAGACATTTATTCCTAATAAAAATGACTTTGATTTGTGTGGTGTTATAAAACACTAATGCTTAGTGTCTTGTAACCATTCACCGTTATGGCGATTTATCATCTATTAAAAAAGCATAAGACAAAATGTTACGAAGCTGGATGAAACTCAATCACACAATAAAATACCAAGTCTCAACCGACAATGTTTATAATAATTATTTCCACACTCTAAATATCAGAGGAAACGGTGAATCACTTTAATTGCGAAGTTTGATCAGAATCCAATGACAAAATCACCCAAACCCCGTAATTTATGGATTAAGATTTCATCTTCGCAGGAATTTAACATTTCTGCAAAGATCAAAAATTTTGAAACTAAAGTGATTAATTTGGTAAACGTTCTAATCCATCTGTTAATATTTATGTGTCAATGCAACATCTTCATCGATTTCGAGATTTCATTACCACAGATTGATGAAAAAACGATTTCATTACTCCAATAATTAAATAAAAATCTGATAATTGTAATAAAATTATTTATTGTGGCACCTGGGGCCTATCTACAAAAATAAATTATACATTTATTCACACGCAACGATCAACAACCTAGGGCATTCACTACTACCACTTAGTGGTAGTAAGCTGGAGCGTGAGCGGCGTAGGAGAGAGCGGGAGCGGCGTACTTGGCGACGGCGGGGGCGGCATAGGCGGCGAAGGCAGGAGCGGCGGCCACCTTGGCGTAGGCGGGGGCGGCATAGGCGGCGTGAGCCACGGGAGCGGCGTAGGCGGCGTGAGCTACGGGAGCGGCGTAGGCCACGGGAGCGGCGACCTTAGCGATGGGGGCGGCGTAGGCGACGGGGGCGGCGACCTTGGCGACGGGGGCTACGGCCTTGACGGCGAGACCTTCCCTGTGGACGACGGCGTTGAAACCATTGTGGGGGTCGGCGGTGTACTCAACGGTACGCTTGGTGCCATCGGGATCCACCAAGGAGTAGCTGCCTTGGACGACGTCTCCACGACGAGATTCCTGCTGGGATTTGCTGTCGCCGGTGTGGGGGTCGGAGACGGCGTAGCCGAAGTCGTAGTGGGCGGGGGCGTAGGCTTCGGCGACGACGGCCTTAGCGACGGGGGCGGCGTAGGCTACGGGAGCGGCGACTTTGGCAATGGCGGGAGCGGCGTAGGCCACGGGGGCAGCGGCGTACTTGGCGATGGCGGGAGCGGCGTAGGAGACGGCGGGAGCGGCGGCGTAGGAGACGGCGGGAGCGGCGTGGGCGTAGGAGACGGCGGGGGCGGCGTGGGCGTAGCCGACGGCGGGAGCGGCGTAGCCGACAGCGGGAGCGGCGTAGCTAGCGTAGCCGAGGGGAGCGCCGGCGCGGGCGACGGCCACGAAGGCGGCGAAGACAACAAGCTGAAACAAGGTAGCAAACAGTTTTAAAAAAAAACGGCACCAATTTGGCAATTTTTGGAAAAAATTTGATTTGCAATTAATCCAAACTGGCCAACTGAAAAGGAACCGAAGTGGTCTGTATAAGAAAAGAATGCAAAACAAATTCAATTTTTTGGCAAGATGTTGGCACAACTCGAGTGCCCTGAAACGGCACTTTTGAAAATGTGGCTTTCAGGCACTCTGAGCTACACTGCACACACTACTCACTTTGAATGCCATGTTTGCTTTGATCGTTGAGTTTCTGGTTGAGCTTGGGTGGTGCACAAGCTTATATAGTCGAAGTGGAGGTGTGGCCCCCACGGCCCGGGCCACTTTGGGACCTTTCACTGGACCGATCCGGCCGCCATCCTGATAGGGGATTTTTACGTTTAATCTCGTGAAGATATTAAACATAAGCACTCGTTCCAATTACATAACGACGATTATTAAGCAATTTTCTACCAATGTCAGTGTGTTGGGGCCGAAATGCTGTCAACGAAATGACAATTAGCCTTGAATGGGAAAATTGGGCGGGTTCGGTACAGATGAAACCGAGAAAACCCAAATGTGACGTAAAAAAGCGTTTATCCGAGAGTAAGTGTGAAGCTAAAACCCGCGCTAAATATTGACTCTTGATGAGGAAAAAATTGAAGGCTTATTAAAACCGAATATATTTGTTTATTTATTGCCATATATGCGTACATTTTTTATTTTATATCTACCATAAAACGGGTAATAAAAAAGAGCGCACGCATTACTACAAAGCAAACTTTCCTCGCAATTTGTAATTTACTGGTCATTGTTTTACAGCATTGCGTCAATTAAATGTTTTATGGTTATTAAATGGTCATTACTGTTCACAGAAATAAGTTTGCAGTATTTTTAATCATTATATAATTACAGGAAGTAACACATGAAAGAAAATGTAGAGAAAAAGTGAACTTTTATGAGTCATTTCAATGTTCAATTCAAAAAATTGATGACGTCATCTCAAAATTTTGTACGTCAAATGTATAGCGTCATATCTGTGGTTTAAAACATTAGTATCATTTATTAATTAATTAAAAAAAAATATATTTGCATTTCTACACATTAGCACGATCAAACTGAAGATCCTTATTCTCTTCTACCGTGTAACCCTCGGGCATTACGCGAATATCGTTCGCGGTTAAACACACAATCATAGCACCGTACCAACTAATTAACACGTGTCTACGCAGATATGGGTACTTCTCTGTTATTTGTCTGGCACAACTCAGAAATATTTTTTCCAACCGTTCCTTCTCGTCATTACCTACAACAATCTAAAAATACGATAATATAAGAACAAAATGAATGAATACACTACTACCTCTAGGAACACCAGTGCGAAGAAAAAAACGAAGCAGATCTTCATCGCACCAAAGCAAGTGTTACACTAAAACGTCGCGTTTAGTTTGCAACTGCAATAAAAAAATTCTTAAAATAATTATTGCACTCGTCAGTAGAGCAGTTATAATCATTATCGGTACACGAAATGGCAAAACAATTTCGTTTTGATGATATGTTAAGTGAAGATAAGGTACATTCTACTGTGGTGATTTGTTCTTGTTATCTCTTCAAGTAGTAGGATAGTAATTCCAGTTTGCATATTCATTACCAAATGGAGGAAATTTTAATTCTTGTCGCTTCATTCTATATAAGTGTTAAGGGATTATGGAAACCCGCAAAGAAGAGGCAGAGCAGTCTAACACCCCTCACAGGTTCATAAATATAGCTCAAACTAGTACACATATTATTTTATTATTTTGCCCTTTGCTATTCAATACAAAAATTTACTTCATTGATGTCTCCTTTTTTACATAATTTAGTACACAATGAAACAATTTGCATAATTTAACATTTAAATATAGACAAATATTGTGACAATTCCGTGCACCACCCAACCATGCCTTCACGTCCCCGTGCCAAATCGTTCATACCGCGCTACCTTTCCACGCTCTTACGCCACTCCAGCCTGAACTTTGCCACATTGAAAAATGGGAGTGCCCATTCATCACCTCCTCGTTACGCCACTGCCCCCTCGAAGGGTGAAGGCGAGCGCAAGGCCGCCGAAACACCGATATAAATCACAAAAACAAAAACAATTCAATTAAGAAGTGCCATTGCGCCACCACCGAACCCATTAACGTCGATCCATTTTTACGCAACGCTGGATTAATCCGATCATACATGGTCCGCGCAACCACGGCCTTGCGCAACTCCGCTTTTTTCTGTCTTCAAGAACGACCTCGCCAAAATCCGCCTAAAATCCGGAAGAAATCCGGGAATATCGAGCATCTAGCGGGGTCAGAGGTCGCATGGTTGCCTCACATGGGACACACCTGCGCCGCGAGTTTCGCTTTCGACGATGGGCATGTGTTCGATGGAAAATTGGGAGTGCGACCGTGGCCGAGATACACTTATCTTAATAATAATCAGATTGATCTGAGTGATTTATGGGTTGGGGAATATGGGATCGATGGGTATGATTAAGTCGTGCCGCAATTACTCTCGAATTAATACTGTCTGCTTTAAAATTGCATAGCAGCAGCTACGCTGTCACCAAACTATTTAATCGCATTGCGAAAATTCAGAAACCGAAAAAGTGGATTTCAGTATTCAGGCGAAAGCACGCCACCTGCTTGTGGAGTCCATAATTTAAAAATTCCTGCAAAAAGATCAAATTGCATAATGAATTCCCCCATTAATTATGACTTTTAGAAACCGAATCCTTGAAATTTAAAACAGAAGCAGATTCCTCTCTTGATTTATGAGGGTTTAATCGTCAGCTGTGCGTAATTACAGTCATCAGCGCGCATTACTTAAGTCAAGTATTCTCAAATCAAAGCTCAACTAAACATTTCAAACCGCCTTTGGTGCACCTTTTTCCTCGTTTCGTCACTCTAATTGTTCCAAATTGAACACAATCACGGGGAATGAGCAGTTCGTCCTTCGTCGAGGCCGGCGCTGCGATAGATAATGTTAAAATTTAATAACGACGTGTCGAGCAACAATTAAAGCTCTAGGGCGAAAAGCGGTTTTGTTCTCGTTATCGTTAAGTAGCAATTAGGGTCGAATTCTTGCGGCTTGTATCGATTTTTAAGCACTTGTTGGGCAGGATAATGGCTATTTTTTAGCGATGCGGCTGCTCTTACTTTCTTCGTGTAATTTATCATGTGTCACGTAACATCCGAGTTAGAAAGGAGCGATTTGGTCCTTGTAAAGATGGGCGGAAAAGAGTGTGGATACACATTTTTTTAATTAGGAAATGATGATGGATGAGGGGCAGTTTCACCGATTTTTTTTGGAAGATTATTGTAATTGAGTTGTCTGGTTTGTCGGAGGATAAATTGGGAATTTCGTGTTAAGAGATAAGGCTTTTTAGCGTACATCGTGTTTTAATTTGTAGCGCATTAACGTGAGGAGATAATTTCGGTTGGATTTCTTTTAGTCGGCTCGGGATAAAAGAGAAACGGAATTAATAAATTAAAACGTCAAAATTTGGTATTTTAACAAATATTGCAGACCGTTAAAACGTGAAAGACTACAAGCAATCCGGCTCGAAGGACAAAATTCCGAAACATCTATATTTATAAATTCAGTTATTGATTTTTAAAAAAGCAAACTTAATAAAAATTATTGAAGGTTATTTCGACAGAACTAATCTCGCTTCTTTGAAAAATTACAATTTTTTTGCGATTTTTGTTTTCTGATGACCTCTAGATATAAAGTAAAAACCAGTGGCGTAAATAACACTCCCGCTGATTTTTTACTTCAGTTTTCCGATTTCCAGTTTTTCGACTTTCAATTTCTCGATTTTTCAATTTTTCATTTTTGTTTCCTTGGTTTTATTTTTTGTTTTCTTTATTTTTTCAATTCTTTGGTTTTCCAATGTTGCGATTTTATTATTTTTCCTCCTTTCAATGTGACAGTCTTCAACTTTTGGATTTTCAAATTTTTGGATTTGCAATTTTTCTATTGTTCAGTTTTTCGATTTTTCAATTTTTCGTTTCCTCAATTTTACAATTTTAAAATTTTAGAATTTTTCAGAAGTTTAGATTTTAAAACATTTTCATTTATTCGATTTTTCAATTTTTCGATCTTTTATTGTTAGTTTTTCGACTTCACAATTTTGACGATTCTATAATTTTTAGATTTTACAATTTTTGGGTTTTCCAATTTTTCGATTCTATTTGTTTTTTCTTCTTTCCAATTTTTCGATTCATTCATTTTTTCAATTTTTCGTTTCTTCAGTTCTTCGATTTGCAGTTTTTGGATTTTCCAAAAGATTAAGGAATTTAAAAAAAATCGAAGATTGATAAAGTCGGAAGATTCTTGAATTTTAGATTTTTAGATCTTCCAATTTCTGGAGTTTTCGATTTTTCGAGTTTTGGCTTTCTGCATTTCTAGATTTTTTGACATTTCGATTTCTGGAATTTTCGACTTTTCGATTATCCAGATTTTGAGTTTTTCCACCAATCGATTTCTCGATTCGTCGACTTTTTAACTATTCGATTTTTCGAGTTCTTGATTTTTCGGTTTTTCAATCTCTTGATTTTCCAATTTTTCGATTTTTTAATTTTTCAAATTTTCAAATTTTCGATTTTTCGGTTTCCCGTTGCCCCGATTCAATGTTTTGATTTCTCGATATTTCGTTTCTTGGATTTTTCGGTTTTTAGGATTCTCGATTTTTCGATTTCTCGATCTTTGGATTTTTCAACGGAAAAGTCGAAAGATTTTTCGAATTTTAGATTTTTAGTTCTTTTAATTTCTCTTGTTTGTGGTTTTCAGTGTTTCAGATTTCTGGATTTTTAGTTTTTCTGACATTTCGATCTCTCGATTTTTCGTCTTTTCAATTTTTCCAATTTTTTATTTTTTCAACTTCCCGAATTAAAAAAAAATGAAAAAATTGCAAAATTGAAAAAATGAAAAAACGCAAAAGTATAAAATGAAAACATTGAAAAACCCTAGAAATTGGAATTTAAGAACTTGAAAAATTGAAAAAACGAAACATTAGAAAATGAGAAACTTAAAATTCGAAAAAGTGCAAAATCGAAAAAATGAAATATTGAAATATTGTAAAATCGACGGAATATCGGATAATAGGAAACCCTAAAATTGCATAATTCAAAAATGTAAGAATTGGAAAAATCAGAGACTGAAAATTTGAAAAATTGAATAAACGAAAAATTATTACATCGAAAGAACCATTTGAAAAAACGAAAAATTGTGAGATTTCTAGAATTTTAGATTTTTCGATCTTGGACCTTCTCGAGTTTTCGATTTAAATTTTGGGTTTCTGCATTTTTAGATTTTTTGACATTTCCATTTCTCGATTTTTCGTTTTTTCTATTTTCCAAATTTTTGAGTTTTCAACCATTCGATTTCTCTTCCACTTTTCA